TTAGTGAGTAGTGTTCAAATCATTGAACAAATGCACAGACGTATTTTTTTCACCGGAGTTTTAAGTCAATATATCCTTATGTAGGATGTCGAAGACCGAGATAAGGACACGAAGCAACTATTTTCCTGTAATAATTTCGAGAAAACTTATCGCTGTTGACGACGACTGCGCATCCGGCGCGATAGAAGGTGTGAGCGAGCAAATAGGTACATGTTCAGTAAATATGATTGTTTAAGAAGGCTTAAGAAATTTGTAATGATTATTTGCTTCGTGAATCCATTCAAATAAATGAAATAAAGATAAGGTAGCTGTATTAGAATTTGTACAATAATTTTGAATCCTTTTAGCAAAATCGAACGATGAGAATGACAAAAATTGAATTTCCGACGTTTATCAAAAAATGTAAGAAAGAAATAGCTTTCTTTGAAGCTTCAGAAAGAACTCTCGAAGATAGCCGATGTGATAACCCTTGTGTTTTCCGCCACAAATTTCCGCTGCTAAATTACAAATCCTCATCTGCATGCTAATTGCTTATTCACTTCATTAAGATAAGCCTGGTCAACTACATTCCTTAAATATATTAATAATTGCAGGCTTATATTAATTCTTTAAACTTATCTTATGGGCTAATCTTACTTGACTAATCACATACTGATTTACACATCAAACGTCACTTGACTATTGGTATCGTTAGGGGGCCTATATTACTGAAGGTAATCGTTAGGATTTAATTGGATAATTTAATATGTAAATTAAAAGCTTCTAAACATTTATGCCCTAAACATTTATGCCCAACTAGTCTCGCCATATTTCTGTAGCCATTATTAAAGTTTGCCTTAGTTTGCAACAGAACACCTAACGCGATATTATTTTCCTCGCGAACAACAATCAAGCGTTGCAGCAGTCCATGCTGATGTTCTTAACACCGATGGAAGACAGGACCGGCCAGCTGAAGCTTCATCCATTATATGCCTTGATACGTTAGAGCAGGAACAAAGCTGCTCGAAAAGAACCGTTGAATTTGTCTCTCATTTAGAAGACCATAGCGTACGGAACAATTTCAATGAATATATTGGAACCACGATCAATACCGTAAACTCGTATTGCATCAGGATTCACAATAAATTTTATGTTTTAAGCGCTTGGAGCACAAATTTTTGTTACTATCTAAATTATTGTTTCTTCTAAGCCCAGGTTTATGTTGCCATGTGAGAATTAAATCGAAAAAGCTGCTGCTCACGTGTAAATTAATTTAAATATTCAGAATTGATCAACATGTTAATTATTCAGGCATGCTTCAGGACTCTTATTCATGCCTAACTCATTTAAAATGGAATCATATTGAAACAATATTAGGTATAATAATTATCCCTGTACATCGCATTGCATTTCAAATCATTAGAAACATCGTAAATCATAAGTCATTTACTCGTCCCTTAGCAGGCAACCTCTAAGACGCTGGGCGGAGAAGCGCGCTGGCTTCGTAGCTGTTCGTCTGCCGCGTCCACGCGCCCCCCGATGGCCTGCGTGTCGTCGCGCTCGCACGAAACGGACAGCTTTTCCTCCTCTGCTCCACTAGTTCCACTTGTCAAAAATCCTCAGGTTCTAGTAGATTGACAGAAATTCCTTGCTACCTACTGTCATAGTCGGCGTTATCAATATCGCTGTCGCGCTCGCACGAAACGGACAGCTTTTCCTCCTCTGCTCCACCAGTTCCACTTGTCAAAAATCCTCAGGTTCTAGTAGATTAGCAGAAATTCCTTGCTACCTATTGTCACAGTCGGCGTTATCAATATCGCTGGCGCTCTCGCCACTCATAGAAATGAGTGTGACTTTGAATGTACTCTCTGTCCTTTCTGCTTGGCTGGCCAGCATCTAATTGCGCTAGTACCAGCTTTTTCAGCATTTCTTCTTTTTGATACAAGTTGAATGTTCTTTAAACACTATCACGCTCTTTCTTTTATTTGTACCACATTCCATGCAAGGCACGCTGAAATTGAATTTTCGCGCAATATCTTCTCGCAAATTTGTTTTCCTTCTTACCAGGTGTTTACCCTATTCTAGAAATTCGTGTTGGCTACTAGCGAAACATTAATTGTTTCCGAGCACGATGATAGGAACGATGTTTAGTGTTAATTTACATACTTTGGTCCTGCATCCGAAACTACGTCAGAAGAATTACAAGTTTTGTTTATGAAATACTGTTCAAATGTTAATATATATGTTCTGTTGGTGAATAATTTTGTGAATCGGTTCTTACTTTGGTAAAAAGATTTTCTCCTCATTTGTATCATACACTATTAAGTATTAACATGTGTTCAACTTTCAAAGCCCCAAAGATCCGTAGATAATTTGAACGCCCAGCTTTATCGTCACTTTAAAATTCTAACATACAGGCATTCAGTTGTTAGTACGGTTGAAATTCTAAAATTAGAAATAAATACAGAAATTTACTAATAGAAGACTAAGCAATAAAACAGCCGGAACCAATCTAAGCACAATTTACAGTGGAAAAGAACTAGAGGCTGCATTAAACCGGACTCGGTTGAAACATATAAAGTAGTTCTAAAATTTGGAAATCAGAATTATCGAAAGTGTTAGCTTAAATCCGAAAGTCATTCAGATATTTGAACGTTACACTACTCGGCGTGAGTACGCAGCGTGACGTCATACAAACGTACGCAGATGCTCATCACGCACAACACTATTTATAAGCTAGAGGCGATTGTAAATGGATAGGGAGAGTATCGTTGTACCTAATGAAAGAGGCGATTTTAAATTATTCACCAACAAAACATAAAGATTAACACATGAGAAGTATAATATTCACAAAACTTTTAATTTTCCACATAGTTTCTGATGGAGGGTCAAAGATAAGGGAAAAGAGCAGGAAACAACGTTCCTATTTTGGAGCTTTGGAGCAACCTCACTGAATAACTTGGACATGAATTTCTTGGTTTAGGTAAACACCCGGTAAGAGGAAAACTCATTTTGCGAGAAGATATTGCTCCCATATCCCATTCAACTTGAATCGACCGAAGATAAGCTAAATAAGCTGGTACTTATACCGGTAAAAGACGATTTTCGTTAAATAGATGACTGAAACCGGAATTAAATTTAGTGTCATTGCAATGGAAAAATAATAAACTATTGTTAGATTCAAGCGCCATGGGAAATTTGAAGGATTTCCATTCATGGTATGTTTTTTTCCAACACTTTGTATCCAAGTCCATCAAATTTAATATGGAGCTCAAATCAAACAATAATGTGTATTTTATCGATTTAAATGTTACTGAACCTAATGGCAGTCTTAGACTTGTGTTTCGAGATAATCGACTTTCACCGGTCCATGTACCAGCTTTTTTAGCATTTGTTCTTTTCGATTCAAGTTGAACGTGCTTCAAACACTATAACGACGTGGATTTCGTATTTTTCTATATTCAATGCTTTACACGCGGAATTCGAATTTTTATACAATTTTTCTCGCAAAACGGGATTCCGCATTTATCAGGGTATTCACCCAAATCAAGAAATTCATGTCAGAGCGATACTTTGTTGTTTCCGGGCACGATAATAGGAATTTTATTTCATTTTTTACATTCTTTCCTGTTTCCGAAACTATGTCAGAAAACTTAGAAGTTTTTTCTATTATATACTCGCAACTCTTAAATGTGAATCTTGTTTTTTTATATTAGCTTTCTTGTTAGCCTAAAAATGTTTTTAGGTTAGTAATTTAATGTCAGTTCTTTCTTGAGTATAAATATATTCTACCTTTTCATATGCGATAGTCTCTAGTTTTAAAATACAGTTGTGCGCGATGCGCATCTGCGTGCAACGGCATGATTTCGCTCAATCTTTACTCTAAAGTGGTGGGACATAATGGGTGTTGTTTCCCTGACCATTTACTAACGTGTTCCTCTCACTCGTCTGTGCGCTCTCAAGACGAGCAGTATCACGTGTCAATATCCGATAGCAACTTGATTTCAGCTTCCACTTTCGAGTTACGTAATTTAGAATCTTCTTAATTAAATGCCACGTTAGCGGCTTGAAGACAAAGACGCTGTGTGCCGAAAGCCACTGCTCCATCCAGTATAATACTCACGGTCTCTATATATACCCCAGCATGCGCCTACCTCCACACTTACTCCACCTCCCCACCTTGGTGCAGCCAATGACTGGCTCCAGTCCCCTATTTTCCCCGCTTCTGTACCTTGCCACAGCCAATGAGGTTAGGTAGGTCCGGAAAGTTTGTTCCGGTGGTGAGTAGAGGCAAGTGTGGAAGACGACGTGTGCTGAGGTGTAGATTCCACGAAGACTATACAGAATATACAGGCTGGAGCAGGAGTTGCTGGCTTATAGCCCTTATATCTCTAAGCAGGAAAGATCAAAGGCTAAACTACTCAGTAGCATGCTTGTGCACGGGAACAATATGAAAGTGATGATGGTATTAGGCAATGCTGGCATCGAACATGCAACTCGTTGAGGGTATCACCATACGCCGCTTGACTTCATTTTGTCCAGTTTAACGCAAACAATAATCTGCAATTAACATTTTTTCAAGAAATATTTGTGCCGATTATGGAAAAATGCTAATTTTTGACATATTAGAAACAACCTCACGCACTAAGTGAAGCATGCGCATACATACGGTTTGTTTTGCTGCGATAGACGCACCTTTTCCACATCTACAAATGAGATCAGAAAACAAAAAGCAATTTTTTCCAATTTTTGGGCTATACCCCCCTTAAATAATTCAAAGTCATCGGTCATTTGACCATTAAATATTTGTAATTCTAATTCAGAATTGTCTCTAGTAAAGTCCAAATGCTTTTTGCACAATTAACATTTTCCATTCAGGCATTTAAGCTCTTTATGAATTCTGTCTACAGACGTGAATACTGGCGCCAATGTAGAAAATTTCTCGGAGAAATCCGGGATGCTGTCTTGAGTATTCCTTTGCTGGATGTTTGATAGGCAAATGAAAATATTTAGTGTCTTGATTGTAGTTCATTTTCCTACTAAAATTGCGCAACTGTTAAACCTAATCTCAAACCTATTCTTCTCACTTTACAAAGCATCAAATCCTTCCCATATTCTTGCTATTTTCCAACCTTTCAAAGCAATTTCTGCTCATTTATGATAAAGTAATTCATCCAAACTGCGTCAACCACATTGGGCCTTTAAACCCAAATTGATGTAATTCAATAAAATGCCTTGCAGTGTTCATTGATGGCACTGATTATTCAACAATATATAATTAAAATTGATTTATTTTACAGTATCAAGCAATAACGTTCACGAGACCTCCGACGACCTATCCTTTCTACGTCACTATGACGTCACGATGACGTCACCAAAACTCAATATTTCAATGAGCAGCCTGACCCCAAGCCTGGGTTGCGGAGTGACCACTGAGCGCCCTACATTCTTGGATCCAATTTCACTTAATCAATTTAGGATTCATAATTTGAAAAATAGAACCACTCAATCAAACTTGTAGCCGCAGCTAATTAATTTAGAGATTATGTACTTCGAAATGCCCATTTGGCAACACTTACTGGAGTAAGCAATTTACGGACACGTATCTCCGTCGGCCACTTTTACTCTGTCCGCGACCAGGGTCGCTTTACCTGTTCAGTGTTCCTAGTTCATATTCCTTTTGTGTATTTTCTGGTGTATTTATTCAGATTCTCTGATTATTATGTGTCTTTGGGGGGCGGTAGGAATTCACTAGGGAGCCAAGGGGGCGCCAGCCTGCAAAAGTTTGGGAACCACTGTCCTAGAGCATGCCCTTAAACTTATCCTACACGTCCTAGAGCATGGCCTAAATGTCCCGCATGTACTAGTGCATGTCCTAAATGTCCTACATGTCATAAAGAACGTTCTAAACGTCCTGCATATTCTAAAACATATCAGAAATGTCCTATATGTCTATGATCAAGCCTGTCCTACGTGTGCGGGGCATGTATTTCTCTACCTAAAGAGAGTTTCCCGCAGTCCTAATGCACGTTTGACCTATCTTAGAGAATTTACTGGATATCCTAGATCATGTCCTACATGTCTCAGAAAATGCCCTAGATGACCTGGAGCATGTTTTGCTTGTCTTAGAGCATGCCCTACATGTCCTACAGGACTTCCTGCATGTCCTAGAGCATACCCTACATGCCCTACAGGACTTCACATATCATATAGAGCACTTCCTGCATGTCCTCGAGGATATTCTACATGATCTAGCATATTGTACATATTAATCCTTTGGTCTGACCATGAGGGCGAGTTGAGTGACTTGCGTCTGGTTGACAACATTCCAGGCCAAGAACTTTCCACCGGTCACCTCGGCAGGTTTGTCGCCGCCGTACACGCCTGTAGGGTTCGCATCATAGCAGAAGTGGTACCACCAGCCGCCGCCACCGTACTTCTCTGAACAGCTTACGGCTGAAGAATCGAGAATGCATTTAGTTAATCCGACTTGGACATCACAGTTAAGTAACTGACATTCAAAGTCACTTCGATACAAATTGTTAAAAAAATTTTGTTATATTCTTAAGTTAGAATAGAATCCTACGTTTATTATTGATAAACCCTTTTATTTTTAGGAATTTATTTGTTTTGAAAAAGAGCAAGTCAAGACACGGCGGTTTATCTATAGTTACGACTCAGTGAAATTCATGGCACGAAGTTGAATGAAGTTTTTTTGCACTGAATCATGATGAGTTTTACTACAGATATTTTGACGATGTTCTGCAGTTTACTTCAGTGAAATGTAATGCGGCAAACAGACACTGATCCTGACGTCCTCTTACGTCATGTGTGCGTCATGGACGTTATAATAAGACTTTTTTCGTGAGTTCTCTTCACTGATGTTGTGAGTTTTTTAAGCTTAAAATGAAGATCATGTTCATTTAAAATAATAAATTTATATCTATTTCTTAAATTAAACTGCATATAAATCATAGAGTGAAAAAGGGTTGAATAATTGTGCCCTGCAAATTCATCGTTGACCTCGCCATATATGAAGCACGGATTTTTTAACCTGGGAACTTCAAAATGCACAATACACTAGCGATCATTACCAGTACCTGATACCTTTACAATGCACAATACACTAGCGATCATTACCAGTACCTGATACCTTCACAATGCACAATACACTAGCGATCATTACCAGTACCCGATACCTCCACAATGCACAATACACTAGCAATCATTACCAGTACCCGATACCTTCACAATTAGGTTCCTATCTCGTCTTTTCAGTGCCTGCACTCACGCAGTAGCGCTGGTGTCTGAGAGTATGAGAGATAGTATAAGACAACCTGACTTTGCTCGATCTCACCGCCTGGAAAACGATCACGATCGATGGTCGAGAACTGCATGCCGTCGTGGTTGGTGAGAGGGTCGCCCGCAGAGCTGCTTACGTTGTCGTAGCCGCCGACCCTCAGTGTGTAATTTTTACCGCCTTCCACTCTGGTGGATCAAATTACACGCATAATGCCCTATGAAGAATATTGGTCTGGATAACTTAACGATTTTTTCTGTGTAAAGCTCACATTTGATGTATTTAAAACTGATAGGCTTGATGGTATAACTCTGATTCATGCGAATCTACAAAAATTCAGTCATTACAAATTTGAACGAAATTTACAAATGTAAAAATTCCCTCTGTACCCCAACACTCCCTCTGTACCACAACACTTCTTCTGTACCCCGACACTCCTTCCGTACCCCAACACTCCCCCTGTACCCCAACACTCGCTCTGCACCCCAACACTCCCTCTGTGCCCAACACACCCTCTGTGCTTGTGTGGTGTACCACAACACTCCCTCTGTACCTCAACACCCCTCTATACCCCAATACTCCCTCTGTACCCCAACACTTCCTCTGTACCCCAACACTCCCTCTGTACCCCAACACTCCCTCTGTACCCCAACACTCCCTCTGTACCCCAACACTCCCTGTTTCCCCCAACACTCCCTCTGTACAACAACACTCCCTCTAAGCTACAACCACGGGGCATGACTCACTTGAAGTCCAGGTAGCGGCTGCTGGTGCGGTTTACTCCTCGGACGATCACAGCCAGCATCTCGTGAGTTTTCGTGGTCGTCAGGAGATGCAAGTTTTCCAAGCCTGAACAGTCGGAGTCGGTATTATAAAATTTGACAGCTAAGTTATCCATGTATGCGCTACTCGTATCTACATTTCTGGAAACGAGAATCTTAAGGTTAATATTCAGAACCGGTTACGCTCAGATAGAATATCTTAATAATTTCCAATAAGAGCGGAAATCTACATTATAAAAAAATGCAATTTGATCGTCTATACAGAATGTTTCCACACTTCGAATTACACAATAAACGTTAGTAAACGTGAGCCCAGTGTTACCCAGCCAGTATTCGCCACTGGGACTGCCGAATCCTTCTTCGTATTCCTTGAAGGTTCGACTGAAGTTGAGTTGAGGCTCCTGCTTCTGGCGCCGCAGGAAGACCGTCCAGCCGCCGCCGTCCGTCGTCTGGTCGCAGTAAACTTGGACGGCAGCGCCGCTGGGGTAGATGGTGTACACGCCCGATGTCTTCTCCGGCCGCTCCGAACAATGCGCGGGAGTGAACGGCGCCTGGAAAAGTGAATAATTAGCAAAATCGTCATTTATTTCGTTTCTACGAGTTGGATTCAACATTTTGATCAACTCAATTCGGTTGCCTAGTCTTAAAAATTTGATTTCGCCTCTAAGACAAACCTACATGCAAACTTTATCAAAAATATGCATAGTTGAAATATTCTCGAATAATTACTTTAGTTAACCAATGCATTCACATTTAATGCGCCGAAACTAAGCTGCCTAGGCTTGAGGTGACCTTGCTGGCCTTATTGGTCTCTGTATAGCTGAAGAATTGAATACTGATACAATTTTCCGAATAATGGCATTGATTATGAGGAACGAATCAGTAGTTTACTGTCACTTCCAGTGCGGGTGCGACGTGAAGTATTCGAAAGATCCCTTCAGTTTTGGACAGAATCGTTGTTAGGAGCAGCGAGACCTGCCCGATCTTTGCCTATTCTAGCTGCTGTTGCTGCGATTGGCGCATCAGCTGTGCTACGCTTAAAGGGGTCACTCCTGAAAATCGAAATAAATTCGCATTCTGCGTTTTTTACTTCCTTTTATAGGGGAACTGTTAAAAAGCAACTGCCAAAAACAGAAATAAAATATCTGAAAGAGTTTTTTTTCGTGAAGTCGTCTTTAACTTTTACAAAATAAACATTTCTTAACCATTGTTTATGAAGAGTCCTTCAGTTAAATATGCATTTATATATATTTATCCACGTTAATCGAATCGTTTTTAGGCTTACCTATTATGTAGGTACGGTGAAGACGTGTCGAACGAAACTAACTTTGTACGTTTGGGGCTTTAGTTTTTGCATTAGACCGTTATAAACTTTTATAAGAAGACCATCTTATAACAATATTTAAAAAAATTTATTTAAAAAATGGTATTCATAGGTCATTATTTGCGTTATTGAAGTGTGTTTGCACTCGTTTTGAAGCAGCAAACAAGACGCGTTCAATAATGCAAATATCATGGATGTACTCGTACATGCAATACTTACGTATACGCATGCAATACGTACATGCAATACTTAATACGTAACGGCAATACATGCGTAATGACGTTTTGGATTTTTATAAAATTACCATTTTATGTAAATAAACAGGTCAGAAAAACACATTTATAGCTTTATAGCGTTAAACTGGACAAAAATAGGTCTGATGACGCGAGATGGTATCCTCATTACAATCAATTGGCAATGGAAAAGCTTGGGCTACAGAATCAAGCATTTTTTAAAGAACATTTTATTTTTTAATAAATTTTACTCATTTGGATTCTCTGAACAGTTGAAGTTAGGAAAAAGCATTTTGAAAATCTCCTGCTATGATTTTCAAGCTAAAACATCGAGAGACATATCATTCGATTCGTAAAGACCATATCTAGCGACTATTGAAGCCCTTTCTCCATTTTTTACTTAATTTTTTTGTGCGACTCTTATTTAATTTTTTATTGTCCCATTTCCTCCCCTCCCCCCCCCACCCTAAAAGTTTCTTTCAATATATAATCTAAACCATGTAAAAAAACGGAAAATGGGCTCCAAGAGTCGCTAAATATTGTGTCTACAAATCGAATGTCTCTTGATGTTGTAGCTCGCACATTGAAGGAGATTTGCCGTTTTCTAAGCATTTCGCGTTTTCTTTCAATTTTTCCAAAAATTCAGAGGCGCAAAATGTTTTTCTTATAATGATTTAGACAAGCATTCTAAGCTTCAGAAAGATCGGTCATTTAGTTAAGAGGATAATTTTGAGGGGAGATTCTTCCACTTAAACTTAATTCGTGACGAGTAGTGTTTTATATTTGTTTACATTCATCATCCATGTCATAGTTAGAATAGTTTCACAGTTCTAGTAAAATTCTACTTTCTCTTGACAGAGTAAAGTTGTGCTGGGATAAATCCCAGCATTAGCATTATTATTAGTTTTAGTTTTGATATTTTTTAGTATCCGCGTACACGGACATGCGCGTTCCGGGTTATTCGAAATTTTTGGCGGTTGGAGAAGCGTCGATGGGTCCCCTGTTACCGACACAAACAACGATGTGACACGTAGAGATACTAAAATAGTAAGTAATTTTATCGTTACTAATTTGTTCATGTTGTAACAGTGTACTCATAGTAACTGTCTGCAATACGACTCTGTGAAATCGTTTCTTGCAACATTAAATTGATAGTGTGCATGGCCCGTAGCTCAACTTGTCCTACAGGCTATATGCAGTATTACTTAGCATATGTGACCTGTATTTTTAGCGCATTTTCTCATTTATGAAAAAAATGCACTATTGTGCTCGCCATGTCCGTCTGTCTGTCTGTCTGTCTGTCCGTCTGTCCGTCCGTCTGTCCGTGACCTCAAGTTTTCGTCGACGAGAAAATGCGCTCTCTGTCACTCACTGCAGTGAGTACTGAGTTCTGGTGTTCATGACTCTCAGTTAACATGAAGTTTCTCTCAGATAACATGAATATGAGTTAGTCACTTTCTAATAACTTTGCATCATTTTCATGTGTTATTTTACCTGATTTATCAGTAATATGAGCAGGGATGTTCAAGCATTTTTTACTGTAACATGATTTTTTATCTCATCATAACGCGCGGCCTGAATACTATAAGCCGCACCGTTGAATCCAGTTAAACTCTCCTGGATGATCTTGATATATTGTCAATTATTAACAGTTATTGCCCCATTTATAACGTGTGTTTGTTTTTTCAACTGATTCTCTGGCTTACTGCAATATCAAAGTGATTGTGCCAATTAATCAAACTGGATTTATGAATCAATTACTATTTTAAAATTCCTTTGTAACGTAACCTTGCTGTTTGTACTGTATAACACTGAGCTGAACTTTTCCTTCACAAAATATTTTCATGTTGCCGCCTAGATAGAATTCTGAATAATCCTAAAGCGTCATGAATTGCTCAGTCGTTGCCGACTAGCGTTCATAAGAATTACTCTTAACACTAATGTAAGTTCTGCCTTCTTACTGTACTCTGTTTTTGCAGAGCACGTCATGTGAAGATGGACTGAATATCAGAAGTACAGTAAGACTAAGAACATCTGTATTTCATTGACCGACCCATCTGCGGCCTCTGGCAATGAGGCCGAGACAAAAGTAGATTCTAGAGTATCACCGGAAGAGTTTATGCAGGGAGACTAGGGCACTCCATTTCAGTAACTTTAAGATTGTGTCACGCTGTGATTATTAACTTGCATCTTGAAATTACTCGTTGAATTTTGAATTTATATATTGATTAAAATCCAGTATTTTTACTGATTATTTTTTCTGCACCTTTATTTGTATTCATGTGCGGTATAACTGATCCGGCATTTTAAAAATAAAGAAGTAGAGAAAGAAATCAAAGTTCGAAGATGTCGCCATTGAATTGTTCCTGCCTTGCTAGTATTTAGTTGATCATGAAATTCTGCCCATCTTATTTAAAAATTATTACCAGTTAAAGGACTGTAGGACGCCTGTAATATGAAAATGAACGTATGAAAATAATTTTACAAAATAGTTGAATATTTTACCATCGCTGGAGTAGCGTCAACGCGGGGCGGGGCAGACTCGCCACCTTCTACGATGCACCGCCGATAAGCCATCAGGTCTTCTACCACATTCACAACTGACGACTTCTTCTTCTCGGTGCCGCTGGTTTCAGTCCTCAAAACATCAGCAAGTTCCTGAAGTTCCTCGTAAGTTCGTTGTTGCTGCGGGGTAAACTTATCGACGCTGATATCGCCTTCGCTACGAGGATTGCCAATGACGTCCAGCGCGGTTACGACGCTGGCAAGACATTGATTAACGGCACCAATGGACGGTGAGCGTTGCTGTGCGGCAGTTTGGCCATCGGCCTTTGCTAAAATAAGTACAGTCGACCACAGAATGTGCCTACTCATTACAGTAGACAGCAGAATGTTCAGAAACGCAAGACGATCCCTTTGCAAATACATCCTGTATCTGTGCACTCGAAAACCACTGCAGTACTTCTAGGAGTTCTAACCCAGCACTGAAGGATATCTCCTTTTGCAACTCGGGTACTGGTCGAGGCAGGATTTTCATGCGAGATAACCTATGGCCAACATCCGACGAAAGCCTGCACATGAGCCAATTATATTATCAGTGATGTAGACTTTTCCTGTATGTATCATTCATGCGTAAGAGAATCTATGTATAGTGAAAATCCGGTATATTGAATCCATGAATACTCGGTGAAAAAAATTTCATTTTCAATACAAAAAATAATGGAATGCACAATAGTGCTCACTTTGAAAGTTTTGTTCAACAACGGAAGCACACAATATGGCCTAAAATGGGAAAACATTATCGAATGGTTCGTAAAAACATACATTTATCGGCGTCCGGCTCATGCCCTGATAGCGACTTCAGGGATCCAGAGACGTTCAATCTAGAGCGAGGTGAGGGTATTATGGCATCCTGTTTACAATTTTATGTAAAGTTTTGTAAAGATCTGCAACTAATGCTAAATTAAAAGCTGTCAAGGTACACAGGGGTTAGGGGGATGCTAGATTTAGAATACGAGTTCGAATCAAGTTTTATCGTTTACGGATACAGAGCTTGTGATGAATTTTTTATATAAGAGCAAATTTATCTGACCAGGTGTACACAGAACACAAGCTATTTCTTTAGAGGATTAATTCAAGAAGTTAGGATGGTTGCCAGCCATGATGCTACAGTTTCAATGTTGATTACACTGCCATACTGACTGAGTGAAGCATGTTAATGTTAACATGAACTTGCTGCGTCAATATTTTTAGCTGCTTGTCCCCCCTTGTCTAACGCCTTGTCTTTAGCCTTGTCTACCGACTTGTCTTTCGCCTTGTCTCCCCCTGTCTACCGCCTTGTCTATGGCCTTGTCTGCCACCTTGAACTGAACGCTTTGGGACGCCCAGCACATTTTAATAACAGTATTCCATTAGTGGTTGTATTTTAAAGTTAATGTTCGTGAGTAATCCTTTACGAAGAGATATTTTATAACTATTATTCTAGACTATATTTTGAAGCACCTCTTAGCCCTGCAGCGGTCACGAGCAAAAACTCACCGAATTGGTCACCTTTTCGGTCGGTATCGTAACGGTCGAATTTCGCAGGGATAAATTACATATCCACGCGACCACTTGAAGGTTAACAATTCGGTGACATAAACAGTAATGTTGATGAATAAAAAGAGTAAACTGCTGTCAGATAAAATGTATAAAAGTCACACAAACCATCAACAATAATGTGCAAATCTAATTTTTCTCAGATTAGCATTTAAAATTATAACTTCGATAGATTAAAGTATTAAATTTTATTATAAACCAACAAATTCAGTGCGATCACTGTCTGATTTTATCTCTGTATGAATTAACGCGCTATTCACGCCTGTTTGGAAGAAAAAAACGTCATGAATTCGAATAATAAAGACCGTCAATATTTATTCACCTGAGGTGCCCGACGAAAATCACTGCAACTTCCGAGCTTGAAATCCCCTCACCCTCACTTCCATGCGGAGATGAAAATAGGTTTAGAAACTCGAAAAAATAATACATTTGAAATCCGGTGGCCGCGATTATGTTGGTGTTGAAGACATGGTAGGATGTCATCCTATCTGCATGAGCGATGGATCAAAGTTGTTTTAAATAATGTAATAACCGAAGTATACATTTGTTTATTGGTGGCCGAATGTTAGGCATCAGTATGAAGTACGGATTATTGAATTTTGTTCAAATTAATTTCAATTTATGCTGAAAAGTACGATTCAAAACATTCTAAAGGGTCAGTTTTCTCGCTTTCAGATCCAAAACGAATCTACCGAAATTGGCACAAAAAATTGCACTATCACAGTATCACAGTACTTTCGATAGTCTGCTTCCGAGTTTGGTATCTCGTTCAAATATTGCCACAGAGTAACGCAAGTGTGACATAATAAAATAAAGATTTGTCGGCAGTCGTGAAGGTGATACCAGCATCCAGTGGAGGAAACAAGTTTATATTCTGGTTCGTTCAAGTCATGACTATAAGCAATATATTCAATGAGCACAGCATGACATACCTCTTCTCTCTCCTCTCTATTGCTTACAGTGCCAGCTGCTCCAATTAACCTGTCCTAGTAGCCCAAGTCACTCAGCCCGTTGATCCCGGTAGTGGAGGGCTATATATAATTAGTAAATACATCCATTTATATCCCTAAACTTCCTCCTCCACCATAAATATATAACTCCTATAACACCTCAAATACTTTTTCCTCCCCATTTCCTTCCCTTATTTCACCCATCACAAGCGCCGTTACTATCACCTCCTCATAACTTTCAAAACAACCTTCACTCCCTCCAACTCCCTCACGACTCTCAATAACACCACCTTCACCTCCTACCGCCTCCACCTCCTCCAACACTCTCATACAATACCACCACCTCCACCTCCCCACCACTATTAACACCACTTCCACCCTCGTCTCCGCCTATATCTTCCCCACCACTTCCACTTTCATTATCCCCTCCAACTCCCCACCACCCCCAATACCAGCTCCACCGTCTCCACCACCCCAGCAACTTCACGGAAAAACCAAACACTTCCCAGGAGTTGCCTAATGAGCTCAACCATAGCAGTCGTAGCAGGATTATGCTATGGGGGACACGAGGGGTGGGGTGAACATGACGGAAAACATGGTTGGCAATAAAGCGGTAAAACGGTAGTAAACACGACGGCTAACACGGCTGTCTATATAGCGGTAAAACGGTGGTAAACACGACGGTCAGCATGGCTGTCAATATATGGCAGTAAAACGGTGGTGAACACGACGGGAAACACGGCTGTCAATATGACGGTAAAACGGGTAGTAAACACGACGGTCAACATGGCTGTAAACACGTTGGTCTACGTACGTGAATGGTAAATGTGGCGAGAACACGTCAGTGAACATGGTGCTGATCGTGGCGATAAAACGGGCGGTAAATACTGGAGAAGCACTAAGCAAAACTTTAGACGGCAAAGACTATAAGGTAAGCCATGTGTGGTGAACACACGGTGTGGTGTAAGGTGGTTAACACTGGGTGGAAAGTAATAGGCGTAAAACTAGAGTTATTATAAACGCTTGGTAGTAAACTAAACTAACTGAACTAAATTAGCGTTCCCAGTGTACTTTGGTTGCACTGAAATACACTGGGAGATGCACATCGAATTGGGCCACATATTTTACTGATAGATACGCGAAATTTTCGATGACTTATTCGACCACTAAAATCGAGTTCCTATCAATAACATATACAAATTTTCAGCGCCCGCATGCTAGAAATTGATCGATTCATCGTTCGATGTATTACGTAGTTGCATATGTAAGCGGTTATCTTGCCTCCACCTTGTATATATACCATTAAATTGTTCTAAGTACTTCGCAAGAATTCTCTGATAGGCGATCGACTTTCCCTTCTCTTTCCCTCAATTAATATATCAGTCCTCGATTTGTATTGAACCTCCTCCCACCATTCCACTCTCCCTCCCCCATCCAACTCCCCCTCCACCATCCAACTCTCCCTCTACCCTGGGGTAACCCATACTAGTTCGGTTAGGTTAATTGCAATAAAGTTGCATTGATATGTTTTAAAAATGTTTTATTATCATTAAATGTTAATGAGTAAATCCCAATAGCACAACAATAAATATTTAGAGATTTCCAATAATTTCGGCTATTGTAGCAGCTAATGTAGCGCGCTACATTTTACTGTAGCGGTAGCGCCCGGTACAATCTAGTGGTTATAGCGGTAGCGGTAGCGCCCGCTACATTTAGAGCATGTAGCGGTAGCGGTAGCGCCCGCTACATTTAGAGCATGTAGCGGTAGCGGTAGCGCCCGCTACATTTAGAGCATGTAGCGGTAGCGGTAGCGCCGCTACATTTCCAAGTAGCGCTGCCCAGCTCTGCGCATATCCAACATGATCTAACATATTGTACATTTTAATCCTTTGGTCTGATCATGAGGGTGAGTTGAGTGACGTGCGCCTGGTAGACATAATTCCAGTACAAGAACTTTCCATAGGTCTCCTCGGCAGGTCTGTCGCCGCCGTACACGCCTGTAGGGTTCGCACGAGCGCAGTTGTTGTACCACCAGCCACCGCCACCTCGCTGTTGCGAGCAGCTTCCTGCAGAAGAGTCAAGAATGCATTTAGTTAGTCCGACTTGGACATCACAGTTAAGTAGCTCTCATTCAAAATTCATTCGATAAAATTCATTAAGAACTCTTGATATGTTCTTAAGTTAGGTTACTACGTTCATTATTGGTAAGCCTTTTTATTTTTAGAAAATTATATAATTTGAAAGAGAGCAAGTCACGACACGGCTTTTTCAATTTTGAAGTATACAGAAGATCTCGAGTCTCGATCGATAGACGTCACGACTCCGATCTTCAATCGCAGAGGGAGACTTTTGACATCGATGACGTGTTTAAATACGATTTGCCTTATTTCTGTTGCGGTAAGACCGCCTTTGGAGTTAAGGAACGACCAGTTTCACAAAAAACGAAGTCTGCCACAATGTGATCACTCATACGATCACATTACCAGTACCTGATACCTTCACAATGCACAATACACTAGCGATCATTACCAGTACCCGATACCTCCACAATGCACAATACACTAGCAATCATTACCAGTACCCGATACCTTCACAATGCACAATACACTAGCGATCATTACCAGTACCCGATACCTCCACAATGCACAATACACTAGCGATCATTACAGTACCCGATACCTCCACAATGCACAATA